CACAGACACAAATTTCTTTCCAGTCATGGCATCGCCGGTTCCCGCCATTCAGCGGTTTTATCACTCGGCTTTGCAAAGCCTTGGTTGCACGGAGTGGTGTAGTGGTAGCACCCTGGTTAAAAAGAATAGAACCCCAATGAAACAATTGGAGATTCCGACATCTTTGTGGGTTGCCTGCGCGATATTTACACAGCATCTTCCGGAGGCGTTGCAGTTATCGACGCGGATTGAAACTTGAACGGGCAGTTCCTAAAACCAGGGTGCACAAACTCGGAATGCCCGAAGCGGGACAAAATGCACTCAGGAATGGAAAGGCCGCAGGATTGATTCCGCACATCATTGAGTAACGTGTGCGCTACATAAAGGGCGCATCTTGCCAATATGATGGCAACTCTTGGTTCTTGGTAGACCAAGAGAACCAATAGCTGGACTAGCGTCGCGCTGCCGTTTTCGTAGGACCGCTTCCCTGGAGACAGTCTGGCTCCCGGACGTAACGTCGATGTTTACTAGCGATGGATGATGCCAGTCTGAATCATCACTGCCCAGGAGAAGAGTCTCTCCTGAAGTAAGACGTTAGTCCGGAAATGCAACAATCCTAGACATGCGTATGAACGTGTTTTAGGGGGTCGTGTGCCACGGGGGGAAATGGCCGTGAAACCGCCCAATGGTCGTGAAAGCGGTGTCAGGCCAGACATGGCCGTGAAAAACAGTGAAATTTCGTGAAATGACCGTGAAATCCCCGCAAAAGGCCGTGAAATTTCGTGAAATTTTGTGAAACGCGCAAATGGCCGTGAAAACCCCGAATGGCCGCGAAATCCTTTTTTCAAGGTCGAGAGACAAATGACCGCCTAAAACGTGATCAAATGCATGTCCAGGATTGTGCGTGGGGGTCGGGAAGCCGTTCCCGGAGTTGGTACATCTTCGGAGCCTCGGGCGGTGGAGCGCATGGGCTGCAAGACAGTCTTGGACAACATAGAACTTCGAGAATGGTCCTGCATTTATATTTCAGACCTGCATCAAGAACGGATCTTCTAGATGCTGCACTCTCGGCCAAATTCAGAAGTCGTTTCAAAGGATCTCCTTGTTTGGTGTTGAAGACTTCTGCGATTCCTTCCGTGACAATGTTCAGCGCAGAAACTTTTGGATGTGGAAACAACATTCGTCTGTTGAGTTTGTTGCAAGCGGAATTGCGTCGCCTGCGACGATGTCGACCATGAATTTCATACCCCGGTTCACGGATCTCATCAGCTTGCCAACGGTCAGAAACGGAAGTCCGGATCTGTGCCTAGTAACCTGCGCGCACTTAGAGCAACACGCAACGATTACAATCACACACAATGGCTCGACGAAATGTTTTCGGGAAAGAGTATGAATGGACCCGACATGATGTGCGAACACTGCCTTCAAGATCCAGATTGAGCAAGCGCAGCGCAAGCTGCAACGCTTCTATCGCATAGATTTGTCCGAAGAAGCCCGCAAGAGCAATTTTTTCAAGGGGGCATCATCAACCATGTTTAAAGCCCTTCCATTTTGAGAGGAACCGTTCCATTTTTGAGAAGAAACATACAACACATACATTTTTAGAGGGGACCTATCCGTTCTAACCATCCAGAAGAAACGCGTCAGTTCCGAAAGAAAGCCCACGCTTTTTGGGAGAAGACCTCGAATACATTGCACCGATTTTGAAGGGACACCCACCAGTTTTGAGGAACCCCACCTACGTTGAGAGGAAGCCGTTCTATTTTGAGAGGAAAGCGCATACATTTTCAGAAGAACCGATCCGTTTTGAGAGGAAACCCATCTAGTTTGACTGGATACGTATACATGTTGAGAGCGACCCGAGCAATTTTGAAGGAACGCCCATCCGATAGCCCGCCCATTCCAAGAGTGGTTTTTGAAAGGAAACCTCCACAATTTGCATTGATTTTGAGAGGAACCCCATCCATGTTGAAAGGAAGCCCGACAATGCTTAAGAGGACGCACTTTTAGCGGCCCATACCTGTTCGAAGAAAATCAACCCATTTTAAGAGGAACACGCGCACCCGCTTTGAGTCCTGCCCAGTTTGAGAGAGAGCATGCGCATTTTGAGGCCGTCCATGTTCAGTTAAAAACAGCTGCGTGGAGGCAACCGTTTTTTGAGAGGAAACTGATTCATGTGGAGAGGACACCCGCCAATGCGAGGAACCCCATCCATGTCAAGAGGAAGCCACGAGGAAACGCAACTCTTGATAGGTAACCCCAGTGGAAGCTGATACATTTCGATCGGCAACCCATCCACGAGGAGATGCACATATATTCGAAAACGCCCCATCAACTTGTGTCATTAACCTGAACCCATGTTGCTAGCCAACCCATCCTTTTGAGAGGGAGACACATGCATGTTTGCGGGAGATTATCAATGTTGACAGAGCACCAGTCCATTTTGAGAGGGAACCAAGCACACACCTTTTGACAGGGACTCAACCGGTTTTGACAGGAAACACATCGATTTAAGGATGACTTTCATTCATAGTTGCGAATGAGCATGCGTGTTTATATATATATGTATATATATTTACACGTAGACATGTATGTGTATAGAGACATGTTTATGTTTACTTTTACATTTATAGATATATACATACACCTCCCCCCAGATGTCGACCTTCTTTGTTGGTTTTCAGTCGCGTCTGACTCTGCAAAAGGGAAAAGACTCTCTAACTATTGTATTAACTAATTACACTACTTAGAATACTAATAAAATATCGCATTATTTTCCAATCATTGCTTTTTTTCATTTTTTAATTAGATCAAAAGAGAAAATTAGAATAGTTACAAAAATATGAGTCTGGAATTTCTTCCAAAGTGAAATAACTAGAATAAACAGAAAATTATGGCACCATTTTTCTAATTTTCTACTTGCTTGAATTAGCTCGAATAATGTAAATAATTAAAACAATTTGGAAAATATGAGAGCCTTTGCGTAGATTCTGCGTGTTGCAGCGCTCTTGCGGCGGCGCCGTGCGAATTCGTCTTGCTCTCGGCGAACCCTCTGCAGAGATCCGGCGCGTCGAAGCGCTCTCGCTGTGGCGCCGTGCGAATTTGTCTTGAGCTCAGCAAACCCTCTGCAGAGATTGCGCCTGTTTTTGAAAAATAGCCTCATTGTTTCTAACTGTTTTAATGTTCTTGCTCTTCTAATTTCTTAGAATAATTAGAGTGTTTAAAAATATGAGTCTGGACTCCCCACAAAGGGAAACCATTAGAATAATTATGGAAATATAGCCCCATTGCGTTTTAATTGGCGTAGCTTTTTCTATCCTAAAAAGTAGAATAATTGGAATATATAGAAAATATGAGTCTGGAATCCTTACCAAAGGGAAATAATTAAACTAGAATAATTCAAATACTTAGAGAATATAGCCAGTTTGCTCTACTTTTCAATTTTTGTTTCATCGTTATTTTTAATTATAACAATCAGAGTAAGCAGAGTAATGAGAATAATTAGAAAAGTATAAGTCCGGAAATCTCTCCAAAGGGAAAAAATAACAATAGTTCTAGCAGTTTTGCATTTTCCTAATTGTTAGAAATTTCTCATTCTTCTCATGAATTTCAAATAGTTAGAACAATTAGAATAATTAGAAAAATAAGCGTCTGGAATTCGCCCCCAAAGGGAATAGTTTTGAATAGTTTGAACAATTAAAAAGATATAGCGCAGAATCTTTGTTTGCCTCATTATCCTAACTTTTTTGATTTTTCCTGGGCCTGCGGCCTCTAGCCGGCTACGCCTCTTTGAAGTTATGCCATGTCATGTCATGTTTATGTATGAGAAATCTATCCTGTGCCATGATATGGCTGGTTAGGTTATGCGTGTTGCCCGCCCCAGCCCTAGATGATGCCGGGGATGCCAGCTTTCTGGGCCCCAGCCGGGAGCAGCGCGCAAGCCAGCCTGGAAACACAAACGCAACAAAACACCATAAATAGCAGCGTTTTGTGGCTGGGGTCGCGCGCGCCCGCCAAAAGGCCCGAAAACCAAAGGGAAAAAGCAAGGACCGCGCAGCGCGCGAGCCAGCCACAGCAAAAGCAGAACAACAGCCCACCGCTCAGCGCAGCAGTTTTTGACGGTATTTATAGAGCGAGGGCCCAGCATCGCCGGCATGCCTGGCAGCGCTTCGCGCCAAAATGCGCGAAAATGAGCCTCGCTTATATCCCTCCGACACCTAAAAAACAGTGCTTCATGGGTTGAAAGGCTTTTTGGAAGGAAGTCTTGATGATGCAGACAGACCAAGCCCCGCTGAAGCATCACCCAGGCCCAACCCCAGACCCTGACGACGCAAGCCACATGGCCTGAACTCTGCATACACGCGATGTTTCGCAAGGGCTTCACAAAGGCAAGCAAAACCGCAAGCCCGAGCTGGTGACGCAGAGGTGCCGGAGTTAGGCAACGCATCACGACCAAGTGACGAGGGTCGGCGGCAAGCTAGCAGGCTAATTGCCTAGCGGCGACATGCTACCCCATGAGGCGTAGCCAGATTTAGAGGGCTGACGAGCGGGCCAGCAGGCAACAAAGGAACAACAAAGACAAGGATGGAAGGAGGGAGGGGAAGGAAGGAGGGTAGGAGACAGGGGGCTGGGTAGATGGATAGCCCAACAGCCCCAACATGGCCCCAAGATGGCCCAACATAGCACCAAGATGCCCCAAGCGGCCCAACATAGCCCAAGGCCATTTGGCAAGAGACCGGTGAAGCCGACTTCCACATCTTCTGCGTTCGCGCCCACCAAAAAGCATGGGAAAACGCAGGGTCTGCCAGCAAGTTGGAAGCACCTTCCAGAAAGCCACTAAAATCATGAATGCGCCACGTGTTTTCATGATTTTCGCAACAACGCGTCCTTGAATCCATACAAAGCCATCAAAAACATGTTTTTTTCTATTTGTTCACCACCACACGACTCGGGGGTTAGGGACGCTCAGAGTGTGAGGATTCATGTTGCACCCACCCCCACCCTGCCCCAGCAGCATGCGCCTCCGTCCTGGTCAGCCTAGCACTCAGCGACAGTAGAAACTCACAGGCCCTGAGCTGACAACATAATGTGGGTCGGTTGATGCTTTCTAGATTTGAGCTGGACATGAACTGGATCAGCCCATGAGTGAACTTCTGACAACTCACTCTGAAAGGGGCCTTCATAGGTATGGTTCCTCACTCTCTTTTTGCGGTCACTACAACACGCCCAGGCAGAACAAATTCAAATAAAACGAAGGGCAGAATGCTCGGGCCCCAGAATGCCATTACACTATATACTTGAAGAAGGCCCTCTTTCTGAGTTTATGCCACATGCATGGCGCCAACCGATTTGCAACTTTGATTTGTTCTCACGTGAAAAAAACGCGGGCCGATCAAGCATGTCCTTTTTGGAATCTACGATCATGAGCTGAAGAAAAGGAATCTTTCTTCCATCCAAGTCTGCCAAAAGTCCTGGAGCAATCCAAGAGTGCGCACACTTTGCTTAGCGGAAGAGCCACGTACAAGGCGCTGTTTCGTTTCCATCCAGTATTTAGCTCCAGCAAGTCGTCTGGCGCGCGAGGTTCAACCCATGGCAGTGATATAATCTTGTGATAGAATTTGTACAGGCAATGGTACCACATCCAACAAAATTGCAGGACTTGACTTTGCACAGCCTTAGGTAGGGTGGGTCATCTCATGAAGTGGGTGTCACAAGCTACATGTCATCCTGGCAAAGAAGCGTAGTCAGCAATTGCCAAATCGGAACTGTTAGACCCTCGGTGAAGTACAGCTTGGGAGCCCGGCGTACTGATCATCATCCTGTCAGATGCATGTGGAGGGCTGGCGCTGCAAACAACACAACAGTTGGGACAACGTCAACAACCTGTGTCTAAAGTATAATTCTGTCTCAAGCGCACGTTCAAAGCGCAGGCTGAGGACTGTCAAATTCTCATGTCAGAGCCTAAGGACTGTCAAACTCTTGCCCAGTTGCCAGCCTGGCCCCAAGCAGCAGAAATTGATAGTTAATAAATCCAGGATGATAGCTGTGGCAACGGCGGCCCATTCCCGAGACTTGCCAATCAGCAAGACCTCAGTGGGAAGCTCTCGAAACCAAATACAGCTTGAAACACACCTTCGCCCCGGAAAGGTACACCGCTGAAACCAGGGTTCCCCCGGCCCGACCACTTCCCCGGAGGGTCTCCTGCTCGACCTGGCAAAGTCTCGCGCTTCACTCAAAGACGCCCACGCACGCCCTTTCCAGCGATGAAACTGGACAACGCCCTGAATGCAAAGCCCTGTTGGTAGAAAAGCCGGTTCAAATCAAACGCAGCACGCCATCAAGAAAACAAGCCGCCCTCTCTCAATCCCAAAACAAAACCGACTCCTCACGCCGTACATGAAGAGCTTTTGAGGGGCTCGTTCTAGTCTTCTCGGAACTCCGTTTAGTTGTTGCTGAACACAAAATGCAAAGTAACCAAGCTAGGAAGAAACCGTCCCTTGCATTGAGAAGCACAAACAGGCCGGATTCTAAAGACACAGCCATGCCGACTGCTGGTTGCTTGCCACTTCCCCGACGCGTCTCTGCGGCCTGTTTCACAGGCCACTCCAGAAATGGACAGAAATGGGCTTCGAGCTGGGATGTTCTATGCCGGGACTGCAATCATCACTTGCGCACCTGCGCACCCGACAGATTTCCATTATGCAGCTAGATGTCCAATCACTCATGCACCTATGCCCAAACACCCGGCCCAGACCCCCTGAAAAGAATTACGCTTGGGTTGGGATGAAATTGTTTGCCAAGTCCATGCGTGTGCGAATGACATATGGTGCTCCAGCAACTCCCATTCTTTCTATGTGCCGGGTCGTCAGCAATGCCAATCGCTTCTGCGCAATTGCCATTTAGTCTTTGGTTTCTGCGAAGCTATAAAGCCGCATCACGTCGAATAGCACATGATAATATTCCTGTAGTCGCATGCGCTGCGAGAAATATCTCGCTACTGCTCGTTCAAGAGGCAGCAACAATTCTGCACAAGCGATATATCATTGACAGGGTAAAGCCCCAAAGTAGGTGTCACGAAGCAGCGAAGGTCACGTCCTGATTGTGCCGGATTTAAGGCACTTCAACAAGAGGGCTTCCTTGACAACCATAGGGCCCTGCGTGTTGGGTAGGCCCTGCAAGAATGGGGGCCTATCGAAATGTTTGATTCTTTTCGGCTTTCCCACGGGCCCAGATTTGGACTCCAAGAAGAAATCCCTTCGAGCCTCATATTCCTCCTCTTCGAGCTGCTGCCTCAGACTGAAAGATCGCGGCCTGCAAACATAGGCTGTTGGCCGATCAGATGCATGCGGAGGCGCTCCCTCTCTGAACTTGGCCTTTGGAACACTTCAATCAAGTCTACCAAGGCTTGTTTTCTGACGAGCTGCCTAAATATGGCTCTCTCGACACCACTCCATGTATCAAATACTTTTCGCATGGAATTGCACTGATCCCGTTCCAAGGCGCGTCTTTGCGAGGTCCAGCTTGGGCACCGATGCGGGCCTGCGAAGAGAGCTGATGGCACTTTCCACCTTTCGAGCAAACAAAGTTGACGTTTAAGAGCAACATGAGAAAACAAAGACCCTGTTTGTTTGAAGGGGTCCTCATGACGCCCCGGCCTTCCTTTGTCACAAGAATGGGATGAAACCCCGCCTTGAAGGCGTTTGTTTGCATCAACTCACAGAGCTTCGTTTCAGGCAACAAACCAACAGAAGTTTGGCGAGCGAAAACCTTTTTGGCTACAAACTTGAGGACAACACGAGCCTACCTCGTGAAGCAGGCTATGCTTGACGGAATTTGTCCACCCATCAAGAAAGCTTCCGATCTGCGCTTGATCTATGGACCTTTTCCAATAGGCCAGATTTGGCACCCCAGGATACATGTTAGTCTGTCTGTGGCTGAACACAACGGGACAGGGTGGCTCGGAAAGCAGGGCTCGCCGAAAAAGAAGACGGTGCGTGAGGTTTGGAGGGCTCGCGCCAACATGTCGTGCTTGCTTGGAGTAAAAATGCTACACCTTCTCAGACAGTCCCTTCCCAAAAGCCTTCTATCTAAAAATTGAGGCGGCATGGCCCCAACGATCAAAAACATCAAAAGCGCAGAGGGCCACACCTCCGCACAATACGTCGGTCGGGTCGCTGTGGCAGTATACCTGCGCACATCTGAACTTTACCTTGGGGCTGGTGTAACGGACATCTTACCATGCAAGTCAGACACTCCTGGCTGGCTCAAGGAAGCTTTGACTTATTGACACTGAGCTTGGAAGCAACCGCGATCTGCTTTTGAACCAATGATGCGCATTGGCATCGGACCAGCACCGCGCTTGGTGTTCCGTGTTCAGCGCTTGGCGATGTGAAAGATCACCTGGCCATCTTTAAGCCCCACTCTTTGCGATCAATGGGCGCCCTTGTAACAAAAGCTTCACCTACACGTTCAATTTTGTTTCAAGGCTATCATCGGACGGCTCGGGCTTGCCATTACAAAGGGTCAAGCTGCCGGCTCCGCAGATGGAGGTGGCAAAGGCAACGGCGCAGTCCATGACATTGACATCCTGGTCCTCCGCAGGGTCGTCCGCCTGCACTCTTGGCGAATCCGAGTCTAGGTGTGAGATCAAAGCAAAAGAGCAGGCGATTGAATGCAAGATAGCCGCGTGATATCGGACGCTGCCTGGAAACACGTCAAAGCACGCTGGAGAAGGGTCTGCGGCAACAGCTTGTTAACTCACTGCAATAAATCTAACAGATCTACCAGCAAACCATGTGCTGAAATCCTCTGACAAGGATCCGTTCAGCTCGAAAATGATGAATGTCCAATTTATACAACTCAGTCACGAACTTTTACACGTTAACTCAGCCCGTGCTTTTGCCCACAGCATAGCAAAGTTGAATTCTTTACTCAGCTCACCATGTTCGTGTGATGCGTGTGGGTGCGTGCATTCGCATGCATCCGCGAGCATTCGCGTGCGGCAAAGCACATACTCGTTTATATCCACGTGTGCATCCGTGTGCGGCTGTTTGCGTCCGCCATGAAGCAAGGACACAAACAAGGCTACGTTGCCGCGTAACACCCCGGGCTCTTTGTGCGTTGTTTAGTGTAAGTTTCTTGATCCACCCGCCCTTAAGAGGGGGGGGTGAATCAGAACAGCATGACAGCAGCATGGACAATTGCAAGGTTTATGACAGCAACTGGACCGACCGGGTAAATGCCTTGCGCTGAGATTTCAAGATTCATGGTATATTGTGCTTGACAGCCGGGCGGACATTTCTGTTTTCCCTGACCGCTTTGGAAATGCAGGTACGGAGAGTTCGGGCGTGGGACAAAACATCAGGACGCTCAAGGGCATGCAATTGGCCTCTATATGCGTGCGCAAGATGGATCTTGAATTGGAGTGCGGCTCTCAGAGTGGGCCTTTGGAAGGATGATTCGGCAGGGATGGGATGGAATTTACAGAGCGGTGAAGGTCAGGAATTTTGGCTTGTACATCCGCGAGGCGCGCATGTGCCTGTGCATTACACGATAGCCTATGCATTCGTGGAAAGGTGAGTGGTGTGCAGATGGTCATCCGCATGATCAGAACAACCTTGCCAGATGAGTATTTTCAGGCCCAGCAAGGTTGGTGCATTGTGGAAAGCAGTGGGATGCTGATTTGCAGAAGGTGGGGCAGAAAGTTTGTAGATGGTACAGCGGCGGCCCCGAATAATTTTCCTTTCCGTACTACCTTGGTTTATGAAGATGGTACTTGGAATTTGATAGAGCTGTCAGCGGATATGTGCAAGCTGCGCAATCGTGAGGGGCTCTTGCTTTGCAGTGACGGCAAAGGGCAGCAAAAAGGGTCTAAGAAAGGTCCTGCAAAACGTGCAGCGGAACTTCAGGAGGAAGATCCTGAGGAACATAACCCGTTTGGGCGTCGAGGGACTTTGCAGCATGTGTAATTTGCCAAAGCATCGCATGTGTCCTGTGCTGGCCAGTTGGGCCGAGCCTGAAGACCCATCTGAATCCGGTTGGTGGCTTCCGGGGCCAGCCGGGGCGCAATCTCAATCCGCCATTTCGATAAGTACAACCTTCTGAGAGAGCGCAAGTTGCAAGAGCCGCTTTTAGCACAGCTTCAGGTGAGCAGGTGTCAATCAGCTGCAGGGTGATTTTTGACAATTCCGATAACTTGCCTTGGGGGAAACGCCAATTTGAGTTGAGGTGCCTTGTGAGCAACGTGCAGCACGATTTGCTTTCCGTAGGACAGATCTTACGCCGCTCATGGCAGAACATCATCTTGAAATGAATTCTCCGGAGTGGGAACTGCAACCGTGCGTGTGGGCAGGATGTCCGTGGCCTGAGGCATGCGTCAGCAAGCGACGTCTTGAATCTTCACGCGTGTCGAAAGAGAAAGTCACTTTTGCGCCAATGGAGGTGGACATGTTTCTTGCAGAACCCGGTGTTGTCTCCAGCGCCTCAAGCGAGGTGAGAGTTCGCACATGCGTTTCTGGAGGAAGTGTCAGATCAGCCACTCCCAGATGCGCCCACAGAGGCGCCAGCTGAGGATGAAGCAGAATTCGCTTCACACCAGCCGACTCCAGACTGAACTGGAAACACATCGGCGTCGCGGTCACCAACCTAGAGACCCGCTGCGAATCCTGCCAAGTTTCCAAATCTGTCACTCAGCATCGCCGAGACCTTGCAGTCGAAGTGCAAGCCGATTTCTTCTTCAGTGCAAGTTTCTTGCCATGCGGAGAGCAGGCGTGATCGGCACATCAAAAGAGATATGGGAAATTATTTCGAGTGTCTTGGGTTGGCGTGTGCAGATGGAGCTCAGGAATCACCTGTCCTTGTGACCACACATGCCGAGCAAGCAGTGGGCAATTTGTTCAAGCGTGTTGAAATTTAGAGAAGAATTCTTGGAAGCTGCTTGGAAGAACGCACTGTCTGCACATTTCGTGTGCCCTCCTCCGCGCTGTCCACCAACAAGACTAGCGCATTGCCAATGACTCCACAGATCTGTCCCTGACTGCCAAAGATCCGGCACATTCTTTTGTCTACCCAACTAGGCGGATTAATATCCCAGCTATCTTATGAGCCAGTCCACAAAGCAAAAGGCTCTGCTGTTGCATCTGTTGCAGCATCACACCAAGTGCTTGCAAAACACTAGCTTCTGCTCTCGCGTCATCTGGCTGTAGCTCACTGCCTGACACGTCATTTTCTGCCACCCCCATCGCTGATGCGCACTTCTCGGCCCTGAAGGCCTGGAGGCAAAGGCGTCTACTGTGATTGCGCGCTGACATCGCCAGACTAACCGCGCCTCGGCTTGACACGCGCGCAGGTCCATCCTGACTCGCAAGATCTCATCTAAAGGGTTCACGGCGCCTTCTGCCGGGTTATGCGACACATCTGATGCCTGTTCGCGGCTATCACATCTTGCCACAAACTACTTCGATCGCTTGCACGGCTCCTAAAAGGTGACCAAGTCATTTTGAAGTTTACAGCACACGCGGCTCCGCTACCGTCTGAGAACACTAAGATCGATACCGAGCATATCTGCAAAGTCAACTCACAAGAAACTATCACAAATATCTTCAAGAAACCAAGGCGATATACGCGGCAAGTTGTTGATTCACAAACGATCTGAATCTTTTACTACTTGCGCTTCATGAAAAATCCACTGTCTATACACAAGGATTACTGCAAGAAAACGCACACACACGATTGCACACGGTGGCAAACAGGGGTTCCTCACATCCAAGGGCCCATGAAAGGACCTAAGGTCTCGAAAAGGGGCCCTTGAGCCAAACACGCAATCGCAGCGAAAATGTTCTCATGCGAGCAACGAAACCATAAACATCTTCCATATGAGCATGCCGTACAAAACGTCGACATCTTGTCACTCAACTGTCTGTACATGGGCATAGACTTTCTGTGCTACAGGCTTAGGACTAGCTTTAAGACATTTAAGACTACAACCTTCTTGGTCCCCAAATTGCAGCGCGCCAGAATGGACTTGAGGCTCCTGCCCGTGAGCATCTGGAACAGGACATCTTCAAGATTAGCCAAATTCCGCGCTGATTGCTATCGCATGTTGAGCTTCTTTACTCGTTCCGTGGCATGTTGCTGCCCTTCCTGATGCGCCTCCTGCCTGACCTGGACAACCGCTTGTTGGGCTTGCGCTCGCAGGGCTTCATGCTGTTGCCTAGCTTCTGCGACAGCCTGTTCGGCAAAAGCTCAGCTGCTGCCTTGCTTGCACGGGCCTGACAAGCTGCCTGTTGAGCCAACGCTGCAACTTGGAAGCAACGTGTTGTTGTTACGTTGCTAGGCAGCCTGGGAAGCGATGTCGGATGCCCGACGCGCGTGTTGCACCACCGCGCCAGCAAGGAATGCGGCTGCAGGCATCGTAGGGGTGACTTCAACCACTTGCCGAGCTTAATCGGTGCCGAAACAACGGGCAAAATAGGTGACGGCGGTGGCCTGTATCCACTTGCGCTACTCCGGATAACGTGGAGGGAACAATATCTAAGCCAGCAAAGATCAGGGACCTGGAACGCTGTGCCTTTTGGCTCCGCACGCACGCAGCGCAAGGCTGTGGCCTCAACTGGGCACTGTGTGTGCCACGACACTATCTTACATTGAACGCTGCAGCGAAGCAGCGAAGCCTAGCAGCGCATTTGGCAGCAGATCCAGGCTTAGCCGCTAGGGCTGCGTTGTAGCGTGGCCCCGCAGGGATACCGAAATAGCAGCTTTTCATTGCGCGCGGGCACGCTTGGGGCGCAGGCTTCTCCCAGCCGCGTGCGCTTCTGTGGCAGCGAAGGACACCAGGTGAAAGCACAGCGATGACAGTGGTCCATTTGCCTGCGTAGCGGGCGCTGGAGCTGCTGTCCAATCTGCCAACACTGCGGCTTTGCTGTCTTTTGGGCAACTCGGGGGTTGAGCGGGGCAGCTAGTGACGGGTCACACTATGGCCCAATCCAGCAGAGACAGCAGCCCGTCTCATCAACAGACAAACCTCACCTGCTCAACTCAATCAAGCCAGGAGGATGCTGGTCAGCATCCTAAAGGGCAAAAACCGACAAACAACTTGAAGGAAGCAGCAAACCGCAAGAAACCTGTCAGTGACATACGGCGGCGTCACTCTATTGGAACTAGCAATCGGTCGCTGGCCAGCAGAGCTTG